CAGCTATATCACGTTTGCAAAAAGTTTTTAATGTTGAATTAGCACTTACAGCATTATTGCAAGCTGGGTACACTCTTGCTGGCGATATTGACGCCAAGAGTATTGCTGATGGTCATCGTGAAAAAACATTGTCACTCTTGTGGCAAATAATTTATAAATTCCAAGCTCCACGTTATGAAAAAGCTTCTATCACGATACAAACTTGGTGGAAAACAAAACTTTGGTACATACGTGTCAAGCGTTATTTGTCTAACAGAAAAAATAATGCTGCAATGGTGATTCAACGTACATGGAGATGTTATTGTGCGAGAAAATTACTAAAAAAATTGCGTGAACAGCGTGCTATTTTCTTGGCTCAATTAGATAATTCAACTAGATTTGTACAGCGATGTTGGTTGCGTAAAAAACAAATGCTTAAAGATCGTCGTGATTTTCTGGATAAAAAAGCCGCAGTTGTTTGTATTCAAAGATGGTTTAGAAGAATACGTTCTACTCGTCCTTACTTGGAGGACCTTCAGCGTAAACGTGAAGCTGTTATTAAGATACAAATTCAATGGCGTGCTGTGGTTATCATGAGAAGAGAAAGGAATAATTATTTGAGAATTAAACAAGCTGCGATAATTACACAGCAGTGGTGGCGAGCTGTCTCATTAAAATCTTCAACTTGTAATTATTATAAAAATTTAAAAGCTGCTACTGTTTTCGTACAATCTAAATGGCGAGCTAAGAAATTAATGATTGAAGAGCGCACGCGTTATTTTAAAATTATCAGAGCTGCTGTTAAAATACAAACCTGGTGGAGAAGTTATTTGATTGGTAAGCGTGTCAGGAATGATTATCTTTTGAAAAAAGACGCTGTTAGAGTTATTGAATCCTGGTTGGTAGCTTGTAAATCAAGAGACACTCAAGTTGAGCAATATTTGGCTGTTAAAAAAAGTGCAGCTGTTATTAAAAAAGCCTGGAAGAGATATTATGAGACTAAGAATTATGTTAAGAGGTTTAAATTGTATTGCAGAGCTGCGAGGACTATTCAATCTTGGTGGAGAATGGTCAGAGTTGCTCGTGAGTATCGTTTGCAAAAAAAGAGTGCTATTATTTGTCAAAGATACTGGAGAGGTCTTTTGATAACACGCGGAGCTAGAGAAAAATTTTTAGCTGTTAAAAAATCTGCGATTTTAGTCCAGAAAATTTGGAAGATGAAAAAGCAAAGAAGAAATTATTTAAAGATTAAATCAGCTGTGATTAAAATTGAAGGCTGGTACAGTAATGCTAAATACTCGAAAAATGTTAGACGAGAGTTTGTGAGACAGAAAGAAGCTGCGAAATTTATTCAGAGCTGGTGGCGTTGTTTGAAGATGACCAAAAAATGTCAAGCTAAATATTCAGCTGAGCGTAAAGCCGCTATTGTGATACAAAGATTCTGGCGAGCTAAAGTTATTGGTAAATTCCCTAGATTAAATTACTTGAAGATGAGAAGCAGTGCGATTAAAATTCAAGCTTTTTGGAGAATGGTATTAGCAAGACGTAAATATTTAGATGATTTGAAGAGAAATAAAGCTGCTGTAGTAATTCAAAGAAGATGGAGAGCTAAAGTTGTTGGAATTAAAATTCGAGAGGCTTTTATTAGACAAAAAAATGCAGCAATTGTTGTCCAAAGAAGATATCGAGCGGTTAAAATTGCTCGGGAAGTTAAAATGCAGTTTGAAGCTTATAAAAAAGCTGCAATAATTATCCAGAAAAATTGGAGAAAGGTCAGAGCATTTAGAAAGTTTAAACGACAACGCAATGCAGCGATTGTCTTACAGAGTCATTGGCGAGCTCGAGTAATTGGTAAAAAGACTCGTGAAAATTATTTGAAGCAAAGATCAGCTGTTATCACACTTCAGCGTAGATACCGTGCTCTGAAACTGGGGCGTGTTGTTAGAAATCAGTTTGTAATTTATCAAAAAGCGGCTGTGATAATTCAAAAAAATTTGAGGATGTTCAAACTCTCGCAAGACTACCAGCAACTTCGTACCGCTGCAATTGTTCTACAGTGTCAATGGCGGGCACGTAAATTGTCACTTGAAGCCAGTCAGAAGTATCAGTTGATGAAGAAGGCAGCTATAGTCATCCAGCAGCGTTACCGTGCTTGTAAATTGGGGAGTAAAGTTAGAAATGAGTATCTGGAGATGCGTAATTCTGCTATTAAAGTGCAGACTCTTTGGCGAGCGAATAAATTGATGAAACAGGCTCGTCGAGAATTTTTGTGCTATCGTCAAGCAGCGGTATGTCTTCAATCGACTTGGAAAATGATTGTTGTCCGTCGTGAGTATTTAAGAAAGAAACAAGCGGTTAATAAAATAAAAATTGCATGGAGACAGTTTGTAATTGCACGTAATATTAGAAATAAATTTTTGGCTCTAAGATCAGCTGCTCTATTTGTTCAACGACGTTATCGCAATTGTATAAAAATTCGTCGTAATTTTATAAAATTAAAATCAGCTGTTGTAATTGTTCAAAGAAGCTGGCGCTTGAAATTGCAATTGCGTAAAAATGTGGGAGATATTGAAAAGGAACGTAGATTAAATCGAGCAGCTGTTATTATTCAATCAACTTATCGAGGATATATTGTCAGAAAAAATCAATCTGAGGAGGAAAGAAAAATCCGAGAGCGTGTTCATCAAGCTTCTCAAAAGGCTGATGAGTCAAATATTCTCGCAAATCGTCTTCAAAATGCTATATATACGCTACAAAATGCTTCAAATGTTGGACAATTGTCCATGTGCCTTGGTTGTATTGATACTATAACAAGGTTGTCGCCGAAAGGATGCAGAATATTCTGCGAATTGAAATTGATTGATGCAATTTATAATCTACTGGGTAATTCTAATCGGTCTTTACCCTGGATGGATGTTTGTTTACGCTGCTCTAGTATACTTGTGACAATTATTAAATTGAAACCATTGTCGGCTTATGTTCGCAATATCAATGAGACCGAGACTATTGCAAGATTGATGAATGCCATGGTTAAGGCTAATTCGGAATTATTCTTGCATCTTGCTACTCTTTTCTGGCTGCTTAGCCGTGATGAGGATTTTGTTGAGCAAATTAAACAGTCACCACGGATTATATGGCTGATTAGGACTATGATTGAGACTCATCTTAAGAAAAATACTGGTAATGTTAATAAAAATAAATCTCTGTCGTTGCAAGATGTTATTGTGCCGAATGAAAAACCTGATTGGGTTAGAAATCATAAAAGGCCGAGATATTTTACTAATGTATCGCATGCACTGATAAGTTTGAATAAGATTTTTAATATTGTTCCTTGAAAAATTAATTTCAATTAATTAATTAAAATATCTATATCTATTAAAATTAATAATAATTAATTAATTGAAATTAATCTTAATAATTAATTGAAATTAATAATAATTAATTAATTAATTAAAATTAATAATAATTAACATTTGTGAAAATATATTTTTTAATAATTAACTAAGGTGTATATAAGTTTTATGAAGAAAAAAAAAAAAATGATGGTATTGAGATTGAATTTGTTTTTTTTTTTTTATAATAATTACATTGCAATAAATACAATAACAAATAATTATTTTGACGAATAAAAAACCGGACTGGGTAAAAAAAACCAGTAACCGAGATATTTTACTAATCGCATGCACTGATGAGTTTAAATATTTTTAACATTGTCACTAGAAAAATTAATAATTAACAACACAGTTGTAAGAATATATTTTTTTAAATATTAATAAAGCTGTAAATAAATTTTATATTTAATTAAAAATTTATGATTAAGGTAAAAGACCCAATTATTGACACTGGCCTAGGTGTTGACACTTGTAATTTTACTTAAATTAAAAAAAACAAATCAACTCTACTAAATTAATAAATACAATTTTTGAATTGTAAATTTTAAAATAAGTTTTTTGAGAATATTTCATTTTTTCAATTAGAATTAAATTGTGTCAATAACTAGGTCTTTTACCTTAATTAGTTTTGTGAAAAAAAAAATTGTATTAAGATTAAATTTGTTGGTTTTTTTTTATAATACTTTTATTGCAATAAATACAATAATAAACAATTATTTTGGCGTTACATTATTTACTTTTTTTTTTTTTCGTCATTTAACAGTCAATCCTATTATTCATATACATTGGATTACAATAATTTGTTTGTTATTTATTTATTTAATTTAATTTAATTTTTTTTAGCATAAAATGAAGCTGAGATGCTCGCTAATATAATAATAATAAGTGATACTTTAATTCAGCGTCGTTTTTTATTTAATTAAATTAATAATAATAATAATAATAATAATAATAAGTGTAAAAAGAAAGGGAAAATAAGAATCAAAGAAAAAAAAAAATAAAGTAAGGAATTAAAGAATAAGGAAAGTAATTATACTATTATAGCAAACTACAGCTAAATTTTTTATCACTTAATGCTGTAGTATTTACGTTTATTTATTTTTTTATTTTTTTTTTTATAGAAGCAGTTAACTGCTAAATATTCTAGATAAAAAATTAATTGCGGTCTGTAGTGATAATATTATTTATATCGACCTTGAAAATGCTTTAAAGTTAGCCACTTTTAATTCATTTTTGTATCACAAAATACAACAGTCCATGATTATAATATATAATTGCTAAAATGTTTGTAATATTAATTAATTAATTAATTAATTATTATTATTATTCTGAGAAAAAAAAATTATTAGAATAGGCACAAGATTTTAATATTATTTTTTGTTTAAAATTTGTAGCTGCCATCGGGCTATTCAGTTTTTATTATAATTATTTATCATTATTTAAAATTTAATTGGTGAAATTAATCTGGAGTATTGACGTTATTTCAAGTCTATTATACAAATAATTATGAAAGTGAATTTTTTTTTTTTTTTGTCATTTATTTACACAACTAGATGGAAAAATAATAATGATTAATAATAATAATAATATTAATTAATAATATTTAATAAGAAAAAAAAATAAAGGGTATTAATTTTCATGTACAGACTTTAACTCTTTAATCTGCTTAATCAAATATGCCTTTTCATCGTTAAACTGTTCATCCTCTGATCGATCGGTGTGGAAGCGCGTTAAAAATTCAATTAATTTTTCCTGATTACGTAGTAAAATGTCCAATATTGGCTTCGGTTTATTTGGATTAGCAACGAATACCTATAAAGCGTTAAAAATTTTTAGTAATTAATTATTGACTACTTCCATGTCAGTTAATCCAACGACTAATCTCCTCTTTAATAAATTTTAAATTATAATTTTTTCTTAATTATTTTCATGAGTAAAATTTATATTTTAATAATTAAATAAAATATAAAAAAATAAACAATGATTAATTTTTTAAAGATAAAATCCGATATCAAAAAATTATTTTAATTTATAAATAAATTTTTTAATGAGATTATTTGTCGTAGGATAAAAAATGAAACATTTTAAAAATATAATTAATAAAAAAAAAAAATAATTAAAAATACCTTGAATACGTGGAAGGCCTCAAATTGTATATTACGTGATTTTTCTTTCAACATGTTCATCATAAGCTTTAAATTATCTGGATTTGATATATACTGGGTCATGACCTGTGAAATAATAAAGAATAAAAAATCTGACCTTGATTCAATACGTAGGTCAGTAATTTTTTACAAATCGACGTTATAATTAGCGGTACCGCAACATTTTAGCCCTCGACAAAATATCCTCGGTGTTAATCTATTTGCGAATAAACACACACAAAATCCATGATATACTGAGAAAAAAAATTTTTTGGCTTAAAAATCGTTTAAAATAAATTTTGGTTTTTTGACAAAAGAATATTAATATCTATCTTGATAATAAAATATTGGCATTAATTTAATAAAAATATTGGCATTAATTTTGATAGATTAACAAATGAATAGGTTTACTTTAATTAAACAAAAAATAATTCGATCAATTTTTCAGACAAGAAAATATATTCTTCAAAATTATCAAGAATATATGTATATTCTTGTGACAAGAAAATTTTGTCAAGAGTAGTACTTTTTTTTCTCAGTGTAAAAGGGCACAACACGGTCACAAGCTTATGTGTTATATTTTGTCTGAAGGAGATTTTGTCGGGGATATTTTGTCGCAGAATCCTAATTAGCAATTTATCTAACTCCATTCTAGAAAATCTTCCATTTGTACGAAAAAATAGTTAGTTCAAAATTTATTATTACTTTAAAAAACAATTTGATATCTAATAGAGGTATAATATTTTGGTTTGGATCATTTAAATAATTTATAATTAGACTATTGTTACATCAAAATGTTAAAAAATCACCCTCTAAAAAATAAGGAGTTAGACCAATTGCTAATTAGACCGTCGAAATTATTTATTATTATCTACTATTTATGGTATGATTAATATAAATAATTACAGTAAAATTGTGTCTGTCCAATAACAATTCACCAAGAAGTTTTAAACTCTGTCGGCGAGTTACGTAGTTTTCGGAATTCAATAGCCTTTGATAATGTGAAAAAACTTTGTCATAATTGGCTTCTAAAAATTCAGCACTCAATATTTTATGCCTCGTTAATAATTCCTATAATATATATAAAAAATAAATTAATTAATTAATTGGATAAAATTATTAAATATTAAAAATTACCTTAAAAGTAGAAAAGGCATCTGATGCAATATCGAATGTAGATACTTCGACATATCTAAAAAAATTATAAAAATCATCGGAATAAATCATTATTTTAGCCAATGCTTCATATCGTGCACACTCTCTCAACATTGTTCCGCAGTTTAATGCTATATCTTGATGCTCATATCTAAAAAAAATAATATTTATATTATTATTGTTATTTTTATATAGAAGTTGTTGATTTAATCTGTTAAATTTGTAAAACAAAATTTAATAAATAATTTTTATTTACCCAGACATAAGTGTAAACAGTATCTCAGGTTTCGTGCAAATATACTCGACTGTTGGTGATCTGGTGCCGATTTGTCTTCGTAAAATATTATTGAATACTTGAGCAACATCTTTCTTGCCCTATTAAATGAATAAATCGTTAAATAATTAATTATAATATTTTTTTAACAATAAAAAAAAATAATTTATCTACATAAGTATATATTAGGATAAACAATGGGGATATTGTTAGTTGGAGAGTGTAAATGGAATCGTGCCAAAATAGACATTATGAGCACGGGAATTGAATGCTGATTGTTTATATTGATTAAATTTGTACTAATTACTAAGTACGTAGTTTTAAAGTTAATTTGTAATAATATGGCGCCGGATTTTACGACAGTAAAAAGGATTTTGAGTTAAGCCGGGAAACCTCAGAATCTACGGTCTAGACGCCGTCCAACTTAATTATCACTGACGTCCAAATTAATTTATACCGACGGTAGTACAATTTATTTAACAGTAGATGTACAACTATTTAATTTTTATTAATTTAAAATGACATTAAAGTTAACTTAAAATTTTATAAAAATAAAATTATTGTGAAAAAAAAATTTAATAAAAAAATTGTACATGTAAAAATAAAAAAAATTTCCAACTATTTGAACTAAAAAATATTTTTAAAAAATTGCACTTATAGTTTTTCAAGTTTTTTACAAATGAAATTTTTTTTTGTAATAATTTTTTCAATAAAAAAAAAAATTCTAAAAATTTTGAGATGACTAACTTAATTTTAATTCATAATTTAAACAGTTTTTTAAATAAGATATTTATTTAAACACTGTTAAAAAATATATATTTACCTCAAAATCGATGCGACTTAAATTTTGTACAAGTAAGAGCAATAAATTACTGTTGTACAATTCTTGTGCAAGTTGTGCCACAACAATATCAGCTTGAGGCTCTGTTTCAGCAGTACCGTACAGCATATTTTTAATGTGAACCAAATTTTTGCTTACATCTTCTTGCGCCTGTAATAAAAAATCATAATTAATAACAATCAATAAATTTTTTTTTTACAAAACTACAAAATTTATTTTACCTTTTCAACTTTTTTATCTCCACGCTCAAGAGCGTTGACGGCTTCCTTCAAAGCCTTCACAACTTCAGCAGGACTTTTTTGGGATTTTCCAAAGAGCGGCATGGTGTTTACAGGATACAAACCTTTTAAATGTAAATTATTTATTAATTATCATTGTCTTATTTAGCTTAGTAACTTAATTATTTAAATACTTCCTTAAAATCTTAAGATAATTTTTTTTTAAGTATTTAAATCTTCACTAATGTAATTAGTGTCATAATTAGATGTAATTATGTGGTTTGCTATTAATAATGTAATTAGCTGAATTTAAAAGATTAACTCTGAGAGTTGTTAAGAGTTTTAAGATAACGTACATTAGAAGATTAATTTTTTATTACATTACTCTGCAATTAAATTACTCAAATTGAAAAAAATTTTTTTTTATTTATAAAAATTAAAAAAATTTTTGATCAATAGTGATATTTAATAATTGAAAAAAAAAAAAATAATTATTTTATAACATTGTTAAGTAAATTTAATAAAATAATTTAAATATCAAAGATAATTATTTTTTTTAAAGTAATTCACTTAATAAAAAAATGATAAAATTAAATTAGATAAAATGAAAAAAAAATATTTATAAACATTAACTAAACTTGTTCTATAAATACAGTGTATTACAAAGTATAAATATAAACATACTGCAGCAGTAAATTTAATCAATTTATAAAATTAATGAGTAAGATGTATATGATATAAATTACGTACAATCATACGCAAATAGTCAGAACATCTTAATTTTATAAATTACATACTTATATGTATATTTACAATATGTAGCTATTTAAAATTACACAAGTAAGTACCGAGCGTTTAAACATAACAAGATAATTACAAATGAACGTTTAATAATGACAATAAATAAATAAATTTATTAATTAAATAAAACTATTGATCACAAATTTATTGAAATAAATATTCAAAAAGTCAAAGCTATGAATCATCCTTCACTTTGTTATATTATAATATATACCTATAGATATTTTATATACCTACACACATATATGTTATATATATAGATATATATTATAAAAAAATATCAATAATTTGGTTGTGAAAGTAGCTCGAAGAATGCAGAGAAATTGAAATTTTAGAAATGATGCCAAGTATAAAGATAAATTATAGGAAATATTAATTTTAATAACAAAATAAGTAGGCTAGTTCTTAAATATCTCGACATTAATTTACAGATATAGATAATAAACATACACAATAGATAATTATAAATTACAATTATAACCTATATTTACTGGAAAAAAAAAAAAAAAAAAAAAAAAAAAAAAAAAAAAAAAAAATTACGCAATAAAAAATAATACTTAAACTAATAATGAATTTTACCATTCAATTAAAATCCAAATGATAAAATTTTACGCAGTGGTTATTTAGCACTGGCACTAGATAAAAAAATTTTCTTCACAATTGTTTCAATCTCAATGTTGATTTTTTTTTTTTTCTTCACTAATAGATCATTTATTATTGATGTGTAAGGCGTACTAGTTATGTATGTATATGTGTAGTGAAGGTATCTCGTGACAAATAAATAATTTTTCGTCGATAAAAAAAATACGTTAAAAATGAGCTCAACAACAAAATGCTTTTATCTATCACACATTTAAATAAAAATAATAAACAACTTGTGAGTTGAACTTTTTTAAATAATTTAAATTTACTATTGTGGAAAATTCAATAAATTATTTATGATTGAATTATTAAATATCGAAATAAATATAGGTATATCTATATATATATATATATATATATATTAATACATCGTATACATATAACTATATAAATTACTTATTTTTTTTTTATCAACTCAAGTTGGTCTTGAGTTCCTCACTCATGAACAGTGCTCATGAAACTGACGTTGGTGATACGGCTGCCAATAAATTTATTTTTAAAAATTTATATTTTTCCCGCCAGGCGGCGCAGCTGTTCCAAAACCCTAGTGGATTTTTTTAGTAACTAAAAATTGGCACTCTGGTAATTTTTCGGAGCATTTTTTTTACTTGTAGTATGTTGTGATTGTAGACAACTACTATCTATTCTTTTTGGTAGACAGTGTATATTTTTATATTATATATTAAACAGTGGACTTGTAAATTAGATAAAATTTTTTTTTTTATTTTAGATCTTTTTTTTTCGTTCATTGTTTTAGAAAATTCAGTGACTGAAATTTAAAAAATATTTATCAATAACGGTATATGTAGAGCTACATATATATATATATATATATATATATATATATATGAATTAATTGAAAATATAATTGTTACAGAGGATGTACTAGCCGATGAGAAAGGAGAATGTGTTATTTGCCTGGAGGATTTACAACCAGGTGATGTGATAGCCCGCTTACCTTGTTTATGTATATATCACAAAAAGTAAGATTTATTTAATTTATAATCAAATATTTAATTAAGAGAATTATATTAAGATATTAAATTAAAATTTTTATTACAGCTGCATTGATAAATGGTTTCAAGTAAATCGCAGCTGTCCTGAACATCCTGGTGATTGATTTGCAGTCGACGAAATTAAAAGTAATTTAAACATAATTAAAATTATATATATATATATATATATTTAAAAATATAATAAATACCGAAAAAAGAACCAACAAAAACGTATTTTTGCATATTGCAGTTATGTGCTTCCATTTTCGAAATATAATTGTTTTATGGTGAGATAATATGTCAAAGTCAAATCTAAGAAAAATAACAGTCGACCCAACCAAATGTAATACTGATTCGCGTAGACCAAGTGTGTTTGAAAGGTTAGGAACTAAGCCAACAATAACTACAACTAATCCAACAACCACGACTAATAATCCTACTCCAAGTATCACCTCTGATTATTGTCGTAATTGGGCATTGAATGGCAATTGTTCCTATGGAAAAACTTGCAAGTATGTATTTTTATAAATTAGTTTTTTTTTATTTATAAAAATGTATTTATTAATTTTTTTTTTTTGGTTTCAGATATGCTAATACTCATACATTAATTAGTCCTTCTAAGAGAGCTAAAAGGGATACTTCAAATGCTAACGTAGGGGTAACTATTTTGACAATTATTTTTAATTTAATTATTCGGAGAAACTTTGGATTTAAAGTACCAGAGTCTAGTTGAGAGATACTGAATGATTGATAATTATTTTGAAGTAATTTATTAAGGATAGCCACTGAGGTTCGAAAAACTAAGCGATAATTTTCTTTAAAATTAATTAATTAGTTATTTTTAATAAAACAAATTTATTGGTTCATATTTAATTAATTAAATTTTTTGAAATTTCACAGTGGCTATCCCCCTTAACTAGTCACACCGTCACTAGAAGTCTATTTATTTAAAATATTTTTCAATTAGAAAAATTAAAAATATTTTTAATAATTAATAAAAACTACAATTTTTTTTTTTAGAAAAAAAAATTTATTATATAAAAAAAAAGATTAGAGCTATAAGAAAATGAATTATAAATTTGATTATAATTTTTGATGTTGAAATAATTGTCTTAATAATAATTAATTTTATTATTAAGACAAGTAAATTCTTTCAATATTTTTAAAGATTTGAATTTGAATTTGATAATAAAAAAAAACATTTTGGATAATTTAAGGGATTATGATTAATTTGAATCCCGGAAAAAATCTTAAAGTTATGAAAAATTCATATTATTTCATTAAAATTATTATAAAATAAAAATAATAATAATAATATTTTTCTTTTTTTGTAACAAAAAATGAAGCAATCATTCTGGGGTGCTTGTTTTTCAGGAAAATTGTAGGTGTAATACAATTATTATTATTTTTATTTTATAAACTATCAGTTATTTTCTATCAATTATCAATTACTAATTTTTTTTTCTTGTTTTGTTTTTCTCCTCTTTCAAATATTAAAAAAAAAAAAAATATTTTTTTTAATTTCTTAAACTTATCTTCTCTTTACAGGTGCTATTTATTGTATAAAATCATTACTAAATATTCTAAACATGAAAATGTAACATGTGTTGTAAATCGCCAAGGGCGTTTCTTTACGAATAAATAAATAAATAATAATTTTTGAAAAAGAAGAAAAACAAAACAAGAAAAAAAAAATTTTTTTAATAATTGATAATTGATAATCATTAATTGATAGAACATAACTGATAGTTTATAAAATAAAAATTATAATAATAATTGTATGACACCTACAATTTTTCTGAAAAACAAGCACCCCCAAAATGATCGCTCCAGTTTTGTTACAAAAAAATACTATTATTATAATTTTTATTTTATAATAATTTAAATGAAATAATATGAATTTTCCATAATTTAAAAATTTTTTCCGGTCTATTTTTTCCGATTATCGAATAATTTACCAAAAATCCAAAGTTACTCCGATAAATTAAAAAAAATTATCAATATAAAATGAATAATAAAATATTAAAATTGTCAACAGAGTAAGGAAGATCCTTTTAAAAGAATCACATCAAAAGTAGTGAAGAAAACATCACACAGTCCCGATTTAAACATTGAGGAGTGGAATCAAACCGATCTGGAGTACGAGGACGAAAAGGTGCTGGAGCGTAGGCGTCAATTGCTGCAGCGCGAATTGGAGTTACAAATGAAGAAAGACAAGGAGATACATGGCAAGGATAAAGTAAAGCATAAAAAACGCGTTATGAGTTCATCATCAAGTTCACGTAGCTCCAGTTCATCGAGCAGTAGCAGCAGTTCGTCTAGCGACGACTCGTCATCCAGCTCAACGTCGGATTCTCGCAATAAAAAACTAAAGAAAATAAAAACTAAACGGCACCACAGTGCCTCGTCGGACTACGAAGACGACAAGGATCGTGGTAAAAAGAAGCTTAAATTAAAGCGTCTTAACAGTAGTAAGAATGACAAAATTCCCGTTAAAAAAAAGCGCAGAGTCGACAGTCCAGTTAAGAAAGACGTTTCTAAGCCAACTAAGAAAGCAACTGCAGCTGTAAGTGTTGGAAGGAAACACAATTCAGTTTCCAGGACAAGGTCGCCTCTTCCCGTGGCAGTTCACACTACTAAAGCCAAAGAGAGAAATCGCAGTGAGTCACCCAAGGGTAAATCCAGCAAAGACGAGCGCGAGCGCGAACGTCACTACCGCAAAGGCCGTGAGACTGAGGACAGTAGCAGCGCCGCTAAAGAGGCTCCGAAGAGTTTTAAAAATGTTGAAAAAATTGGAAAAGAGCTGGAGAATAAAAGTAAGAGTCGAGGAGAAGAAAAGAAAAGCGATGATAAAGCGAGGCCTAAAGTAAGGCCCAAAGAAAAAAATCACATATCACGGACCCCGCCGATAGAACGTCCAAAACAATTAAAAGAAACGCCTAGTAAACTTCGTCGCAGCCGGACTCCTGATAAACCTACTAGATCTAAACGTGACGTAACTCCGGCTCGTCATGTCGAAAAATCTCCAGCTATTATGACTTGCTCGTCATCTTCGTCTTCGACAAACAAGTCACGGGAATTGGAGAGGAAAGATCGTGACAGTGTTCACAAACGTGACCGAAGTAAAGATCGCGACGATGCGCGTAAAAGTGAACTAAAGTCCCGGTTGTCTAATCAAGAAGACAGTAAAAAAATACTCTCTTCCCGTGATGATGATAAAAATCACGGAGATAATCGGAGTCGCGCGAAGAGTCGTGAGCGTCGAGACAAAGATTTTAACCGCGGAGATGATTCGCGTCATCGCGTTCAAATGCGCTCAGATCAACGCGACAAGGATCGCGATGATATAATAGACCGGGGAAATGTTTCACGAGAGCGTCAGCGTGATCGTGATAAAGATTGCACCCAGAAACGCGATCGTGAATTGACTGTAGGAATTAACAGTGGTGTTGATAAAAATTCACGTTATATTAGAGATAAAGACCGGATTAAAGACAATGTTATGAAGGATGACAAAAATAATTCCCGAGATCGTCGCGGTGATATTAAATTGTCTGACCGTGATAATAAGAGTTCTTCCCAGAGGTTTGATGGTAATAAGTATGACCGTGCAATGGACAAAGAGGCTGTGCATAAAAATGTCGACCGGGAGAGACTGGATCGTTTTCCTAGAGAGCGTTCTTTGGAAAAACCTGTTGATAAAAATGTATCTGTCTCACGGGGTGAACATTTGCCTGAACGCGATGCTATTTATGAAAGAGGCGGTGGTGGGAGACATCGCCGGGTCCAGGGTGGGACCAGGTACGAAAGAGGAGGACACTCTAGCTTGGAGCACGATAGGAAAGAAATTCCCTCGGTTAAAATAGACCGACGGGAGAGTCCTCGCAGGAGCATGGAGGTTGACAGGAATTTTGACCGCGGGTATTCGAGAGTCTCTGCTGATCACTGGGAGCAGCAGGATGAGCCAGTGCGCCTGGATTATCATCATGAGGAGGATCGCAGGAAGCCGATGGAGACTCGTAAATTTAATAGTCCGTTTAATGAACGACGGGGACGTGGCAGAGGTGGTGGGACTGCTGGTGATGATGACAGACCACCGCCCAGGTACCCGGTTCAGAACGAGAGACCTTTTGATGAGCACCATCATATGTACAGTGGCGATAAGCTACCTCCTCATCGTCCTGGTCCTGCTAGGGATGAGAGTAGTAATGATAATTGGGACATGCATCACGAGGCTGATCACAGCAGAGATCGTGTGTTTCCTCCTGACTGGGAGGAGAGGGACTGGCGGCCTAGGAATCATCACTGGGACAGGGAGAGTCTTCCCAGGTCTGAGGCTCATGAGGAGGAATGGCCTCAGAGATATGACAGTCCGATGGCTGATTGGAAGATTAATGAAGCTAGGAAGCCTTGGGAGAACCAACCGATTCATCAATCAATAAGGGGCTCTTATAGGAATGACCGGCATAAAGATCTGGATATTGGAGAGAATATTTATCCCAAACGCCGCGGTCCGTATAATACTCCTGAAATTAGGGATGATTGTGGCAGTCATGGGTCCAAGCAGAGTTCTTTGCATGGTAGTATGAAGGAAGAGCCTATTAATAAAAAATTGATGGAGTTGGCGGAGGGAAGGCCTAGGAGGAGTCGAGAGAAATCTACGGATAGCTTGCAGAAGAAATCCCTTTCTAAGGAAAAAATAATATTGGAGCCGAAAGTATTGGAGCAGCCGGTTGGAGTTGAATTGAAGCGCCCGTGCTTGGAGGAATCGTTGACTCGGCACACGGAGAGTGACTTAAGTGACATCAGTGATGATCCTGATGATATTCTTAATATGGAGGATGAAGAATCTGAGGATAAAAAGTCGGTTGATGATAAGGATATTGTTAATAAACCTTTGGTGATTAATAATGAGGAGGTTGTTCAGGTGAGCAAGCCTTCGCCTGAACAAATTACTGATGATTCTGCTAATTCTGGTGTTCCTGTTGTGGGTGTTGCTGTGGCTAGTGTTGCTAATGCTGTGCCTGCTAATAGTTTTATTGGTAAGGAGAAGGATAAGGATAAGGATAAGGAGGAACAACCGGAGGCTGCTGCTATTGATGAGGATAACATGGAGGCGATGGACTTTGAGGAAATTTCAGATGGTGAGTTGGAGGAAGATATCAAGACTAGTGGCAAGGGTTTGGGTGATGCGCTGGGTGTTGATTGGGAGAGCTTGGTTAAAGAGACTCAGCCTAGGAGGCAAGTTTCTAATTTAGATTCTGCTCAGTGTCGCTGGCAGTGCAAAGCTATTTTTCAGAGGATTGGAATTTCTGTTAAGTATGCTGGGGAGGAATTTATTAATAAACTTAAGAGTAAATATGATGGGGATGGAGAGTTGCTGCTTGATAATGTTGCGATGATCCACACGGCGCTTTTTAGGGAAAAAATTAATAATGATCCGGTGTGCGGGTTGGTTATTGCTGATGATAGTCTTTATAGGATTAATGGACGTGGTAAATATCAAGATGATGACCCGGAAGTTCTTAAACCTTTTACTAGTTTGTTTGAAGAAGCTAAGTTGTTATTGCAGCACGCGTAATTGTAATTTTTTTTTTTTAAATAGACACTTTACGGTTTGATTATAAATAAATTTGTAAGTGAATTAATAGTAATTAGAATTCTAGGAAGTGAATGTTTTATAAAAAGTACAAAATGAAATTAATATTATAATTAAATTGGATTTTTGAATAATTGATCTATAATCTTCAATTGTTATTGTGTAATAAGAAATAAACAATTATTGATAATGCGACTTTTCTATGTAAATCTTTCATTGTATTTGTTGTAAACTTTTAATAGAAATTGTAATTAGTATACTTATATTCTAATTGTATAATAAATATTATTTACATGAATACAAAATAATTATGTTTTTATATATTATTTATAATTATAAGGAACAATTTTAAATTAAAAAATTATTTTTTTTTTATTTCAGTGATTAAAATTTTATTTTTGCTTCGTATAAAATGCATTCAAAAATTAATACAGAAATTTATATGTACAAAGTTATTTACAAGCTAGCAGTAGTTATTTTTTAAACTTATTTTTTATTTACTTAAAACTTTCTTCTTCTTATTATCTCTGGCTTCCAGTTAACAGGATGGCTCTCTTCAGTCTACAAAAAAAAATAAACAAAGAAATCCGTGATTAGTAAAATTAACAATAATAAATCATTAAATAATTTTTTTTTTTTTTTCAATAATTAAAATGAATACTTCCAAAAAAGAATATTTAAAAAATTATACTTACAGCTTCCTCACACTCCTTGAACAGCTTTATAGTTTTGTCCGCTCCAGTCATTATCAATCTCGAGCCAGACATGTCAAAAGTGGCACTGAAAAGCCCAGCTTCACTATCCATAGAACCTGGTTGCACTGGTGGATTCAAGCGTTGGAAATTGTACCCCGTTTGGAAATCCCACAAGTTCATAGATCCACAATCGGCACCAGAGACCATTACACCGTCAGCATTGACCGCTAAGCAATTGATTATGGCATTGTGTCCCGATAGATTTTGGATGAATTTTCCCTCTGGACACTTCCAAGTTTTAATGTTGTCTGGAGCTCCGGATGCAAACATGTATCTAAAAAAATTAAACGTTAGAAAATAATTTTAAACTTCTGTCAGACATATTATTTAGTTAAAAAAATAATTTTTAAACTTTTGTCAGACATATTATTTAATATGATATTAAAATTAGCAGACACTTGAAAATTTTTATTTTTTTTTTTTTTTTTAATAAACTAGGTCTAAAAAATTATTTTTAAAAAATTGCATTTATAATTTTTGAGAGCTTTTAAAGATGGAATTTTTTTTAAATAAATTTTTATTATTATAATTTATTTATAAAAAATTTTTGAAATAATCAAATGACCATTTTTTGATTTTTTTTTAATAAAAAAATTTGTTCCAAAAAATTATTAAAAAAAAATTGCATTTTTAATTTTAAAAAATTTCTACATATCAATTTTTTTTCCTAATTTTTTTTTTTTTTGTAATAATTTATTTATCACCAAAATTTTTTAAATTATTAAATATCTGCTAAAATAACTATCATTCTTTAATTAATGTTTATTCATTAAAGAATTTTATTAAATTACTTACTTATTAGGATGCAAACAAAGCGCACGAACACTTTTTTTGTGGTGAGTCAGAGTAGCCATGGATTTACCAGCAGCTAAGTCCCACAACCTAATGGTAGAATCGTGGCTGCCAGTGATGATCTGGGGTTCAGCAGCTTGACTAACTACACTGGCTACTGTATTAGTATGTCCAACTAAAGTATGAACATTAGCTTTGGTCCTCATATCCCAAACTCTGGCAGTGGAATCTCGACCTGCTGTTGTCAAAATATCAAGCGTCGGATGAAGTGCCATGCTGTAGACTGCTGAGAGATGACCATGGTAATGTCTGATCACTTTGTTAGTCTCCAGATCCCAGCATTTCACTTGCTTATCTTCACCGCATGAAAATAAGTACGGGTGCCGTTGAGAAAACGCTAGACCTCGTACTGTACTGATGTGTCCAGTCAATGAAACCATCAGACTGCCCTTGGCCAGATCCCAAATTTTTATGATTCTGTCACCTGCACCAGTTGCAAACCAACGGTTTTCTGGTTCCACGGCACAACATCTCACCCATCCAAGATGTCCACTGATTACACGGTATAATTTCCAAGGTGCATGCCACTTGGGTTTCAGAGAAATTGGTGCTTGTCTCCTGGGAATTGCGACTGCGTTTGATGATTTTGTCGCAGGTACAACTAATGGTCCTGATGAATTCGCTGGTACCAAAGCTGAAGTATTTTGCATGTCCCCGTATGAGTCGTCTAATAATAAAAAATTTTTATTAATATTTTAGATTTAAAAAATTAGGATTTATATTTTATTTTAAGAATTTAAATTGAATGACACTTGGTAAAATTTTTTATTTGCCTAAATAAACTAGGTCTAGAATATTATTTATAAAAAATAACATTTATACTTTTTTTTTTGAGCTTTTAAAGATGGAATTTTTAAAATAGATTTTTTTTATTATAATTTACTTGTTAAAAAAATTTCTAAAAATTATTACATATTTCTTAATTTCAATTTCATTAAATTGACAGAAAAATATAACTAAAATAATTATAAATTTTTTAAAATACTCACCACCTGGTGGAAGTGGTTCTTCATTATTATTTTCAGGGTTTTTAGCTACCGGAAGTTGAGTTTTCACTTTGGAAACAATATCACCGTATTGACTTCTAGCTTTAATGCGTTTAATGCTTTCATATCTGTAAAAATGAAAAAAAAAATTAGTATCTCTCTTGATTTAAATCATTACATCATTAATTAATATTATTAATATATAAAATATATGATAAAATAACATCTGAACATTTTTTACTTGTGAAGAAAATGATAACAATGTTTACTCTAACGTATAAAAATAATAAGCATTAAAAAAATTTTTTTTATAAAATATATCAAAAAATAAAATTAACTAAATTTCAATTTTTAGATAAAAAAAAATTTTTTTTTTAAATAATAATAAAAATTTAACATTTTTGAAAATTTATTTTTTTCAATTGTTTTTTTTTTTCCATATAGAATATGAGAAAAAAAATGGAAAAATTGTTTAACTTATTTGGACAAATTTTAATGACGATTTTTGATAAATATATAAAATGTTTGTAAGCATTCAACGCTTTAGAGAAAATTTTTTTAAAATTTTCATAATTATCGTAAATTTTTCTTAAAATAAAATTTTTTAAAGAAATATATTTAATATTTTGAACTAAAAAAAATTCAAGTGATTCTTAAAATATTAATAAAAAAATACTTACGACTTTGGATCCACTGGAGGTAAAAGTCTTTTATTTTTGAGAAAAGCATCGTGGGTTCTTTTCAAAGATCGGAACACTAACGTGTGTACCGAATGTTTATCAACGTCATTAACCATTTTTAAAATTTTTAATAAAATAAAATAAATCACTTTCTATAATTTTAAAATATAGTTATAACTATTGATAATTGACTAACTTAATTTTCATGATATCCAAAAACTATTTCGTGATTATTTTTAAACGTATTACAAACGATTTGAGCAGGAAGAAAGAACTGTTCGGACAGACGTTACTAATCCAAATCCACGCGTGTACAATTTCCCTCCATATATATATAGTTTCCACATTTCCAGACAGTTTCCATGAAAAACTTCAGGCGAATGCACATAAAACTTTTTTTAAATCAACCAATTAGAATTTATTACGAAATTTTCCTCCGTCAACTCCGCCATCTACTGGCCAGGAAGGAAAACGCTTATTTTTTAAAATTCACAAATTAATCATACATTTTCATAATTTATTTTTTTTGTAATTATTTAAATTTACTTACTTATGCACTTATTTTATTTATTTTATATTAACATACTTTAATTTACATAATTCTTAATCTTTTAAAAATTTATGATACTGAAATCAACAAATGTCTGACAATTTTTTAAATTTTTATAAAAAATCAATTATATTAAAAAATATATTTGAAAATCCGTATAATTTTTCTTAATTTATATTTGTATAATTTTTATTTTATAATAATTAAAAAAAATTTCTGTTGATTTTAGAGTAAAATAATTTTAACAAATTCTTATTTTGTACTGTATATTAATATCAGAAAAATAACATCTAGTAAATGCTACTCAACAACAAGAGTATAGTTATTATAATTACACATGCTAATAATAAACTAACAACATCACTTAATCATTTGATACATTCAAATTTTTAAAATTATCTGCAGCTTCAAAGTCACATTCTAAAATTTCTTTTACTTTGTCCGCTATTTCTGTAAGCTCCTTATTAATTTTCTAAAAAACAAAATTAAATATCACAATAAAAATAAAAATATGTGGGATGGTATTATTAATAATAATAACAATAATAATAATAATAATAATTGTGATAATTTTTACCAATTTGATTTCTTCTTTATCACTATTTACTTTTCGCGAAAGTTGCTCTTTTTTTGTGCAATAAAGTTCATTGAGAATCAAACCTATAATTAAATTAAACCGTATAAATTCATAAATATTTCTTCTTTCATTGTTTATTATTATTTTTCTACCTTTTTTTTGACAATCACCACATCCCAATTGGTCTAGGATTTTTATTAAATCATTGCAATACTGAGCCTTCAACTCGAGCTCCTTATCAGACAAATCTAAAACCACAAATTTTTTTTTTAACAAAATATTTTTATTGATTCCAGTTAATTTTTTTTAGGGTAATATTTTTCATGAAATTTTATTTTATTTTATTTTGTTTAAATAAACAAACCCAACAGCCAAAGGGCCATTAACAGGGTTAATAATACAACAGTTAGTATATAAAAAAAACCATTTTTGATGTATAGCAATTAAGATGACTTACAGCTAGCATAGTGATTTCATATTTAATAGAATATTAATATTAATATTAATTATAAAGGTACTTAATATATCTATATGTATTATAAAAATTAATATTATTATTAATTATAAATTTAATAGATAGATTGCTAAATGAGTAGAGCATTGACGTGTTAGCAATTGCAAACAAAAACAAAAAATAATAGTGATTGATAAAATTAAAAAGAAAAAATAATAATGTTAATAATATGAATAATAATAATAATAATAATTATTATTATTATTATTATTATTATAAAAGTTGTAGCAATTGCACATAATTAACACCATTAAGTTGATAATTTGCCAAGTGATGCTGTTATACAGCCATTAAGTTAGTTAGACAGTACCAGGTTTAAATAATTATTTGATAAGTAACAAGATTGTTTTGTTCAAATTAAAGCAAAATTATAATTTTAATTATAATAATTATAATTATAATAATAAGAAATTAAATATAAATCAGCATTAAGCTTCTCAAATACTTACTTTTCCATTCAAGTTCTTCAGTCCGTCCAAAAAAAGACACTGCGTGAAACTTCATATCCAACAAAAGATGATTGACCGGAGGTACGAGAATTTTTAACTCACCTTCAATGAACTCCAAAAGATTCCGAGGGGGTTCACTGAGAACATTATTAATCATCGTATTAAGTGCCGAATAAATTGATTCAATCTATAAAAAAGAAGAAAAAAAATTATTTAAAATAATTTTCTTTCTGTCCTAAATTATCTAGTAAAAAGAAATTCTTGAAGTAAATAAATTTTTCTTGATACAGATATCAGAAAAAAAAAAAAACATACCTGTTTACTAGAAACTTTGACATTACAATCACGACAAGTCCAAGAACTTTTTAAATTCAATGGATCATCAGGAAAAATGTATGAAAAGCATTTCAAATTAGCACACCTCAGAGCGCTGATGTTAGTTCCAAATTCCTTTTAAATAAAATTTTATAATTATTTCTTATTTAAAAATTTATAAATAAATAAATAACTTGCCGTAGGATCTGCACATCTTTTGCAGCAGCATTCAAAGTGTTTAGAAAAAAGCAAATACTTTCTTCGTAAAATAGTACCCCAAATTAAATCAACGTAAGTTCCTGTAAGTTCTTCGTCTTTTTTAATAGGAACTGTAGCGCGCGTGAACATAAACCCTCTATCATTAAAATAGTGCCGGGTATTTGGTAAACAAGAGTGATTTATCAATGCTCCTAGAGGATAGAGACCTCGAAGACTTATCGAAGTTTTGTCGTCAACACGTATAGCTGTTTCAAATGCGTTAGTATCAAATGCACGACATACTTGGAGCATAAGTTCTTCGTCCTCTGGATTGATTGCTTTTGAAATATTTTTCTTCAGCAGTTCTATCTAGAAAAATATCGAAGAAATAATGAATGATTTTTTTATACAATATATAATCTATATTATTAAGAGAATAAGAAAAATTTTGTGTCCAGGATAGTCATATGAAAAAATCGGTTTTTTTTAGTAAAATTTAGTCATTGCAAAGGTCTTGACTTGAATTTGTGCCTTTTCAAAGTTTCATATCATTCTCACCGATAGTCAATTTATTTATGATAAATATTTAGGCTGCATTTAAAAATTCTCTATTTCTGGATACATAATTAAGAAATTACCTTTTATCTTGAGAAATATTGACATTTTTTAAGATATAAGCTCATTCCAATATTACAATCATCAAGACCTTTCATTTGAGTACCCACATCAATTTTTCATATATTTTATATATGAAAAATATATCAAAAATGCAAGTGGGTACTCAAATGAAAGGTCTCAATGAGTGTAATGTCGAGATGAGCTTATATCTTTACAAAACTCAATAATTAAGAAATGTCATTGTATTTTCTAAACTATTCATATTTTGAAAAATATAAGCTCACCCCGACATTACACTCATCAAGACCTTTCATTTGAGTACCCACATCAATTTTTCATATATTTTATATATTTATATATATTATTATATATATGTATATATGAAAAATATATCAAAAATGCAAGTGGGTACTCAAATGAAAGCTCTTGATGAGTATAACATCGAGATGAGCTTATACCGTTAAAAACATCAATAGTTAAAAAAGTACAGTACGATTTAACAAAAGTAATTATTTAATATATCAAAATTTTATTTATTTATAATTCACAAGTCACGGCAGTTACGTAGTGACTGCAAAGTTGCCAGTTATTATTAATTTGTATCTACAAAATTTTGAAAATTTATTTAGTAGATATTTAATAATTTTAAGAATTTTTATTACAAATAAATTATGAAAAAAAAAAAATTGACGTGTAGAATTTTTAAAAAATTAAAAATGCAATTTTTTAAAAATAATGTTTCAGAACAAATTTAATTGTTAAAAAAAAAAATAAAAAAGTGGTCAAGTGACTCCTAACTTTATATTAATGTCATACTAAATTAGCTCAGAAAAGAAATTAATTTAAATCAAGAAGATAAATTTGAAGAACTTCATTCTTTTTATTTGCGTGGAAAAATTTTTAAACTAAGAAATTTTTTTTAGCTTAAGTAAATTTTATTTGGTTCAAAAATTTTTCTCTTGACTCAAGTAATTTTTTTTTATTTTTTTTTTTGTGTATTAGCTTGAATTTTTTACAACCTCACGGCCATGTAGTGGACCTTCATGTTGTTGAAGCGTACGAACAAGGTCTCTTTGATACGAAGACAACGAAAGTGATCTGATTGGAACCACTGCCTGAAGAAGTTCCATGGACCACATACTTCCGCAGGTAGGCTGCCAACTTTGCAGCCGTTCACATTCAAACTCGATGTGATTCCTAGAGTTTTCACACTCATTAGAACATATTGGGAGGCCGCAACCTCGGTCACAGGGGAACAATGTGCATCCGGATTTATAGCAATTGATACACATAGGAAGATATTTCTGATAGCAACGTGGTCCAATGATCATTGGCGTATCGATGAATATTAACTCACCCTGTTTTATATCACGCTTAGCAAACAATCCACGACCACTTACTTTTGAATTACGAATTTCCCATACTTGATCTTCTTTACTTTTCAGAAGATTATGTTCTTTTAAGTGTTGTCGGATAAGATTTTCCGTAGCTTGTGGTTCTAACATTTTTGATATGTTAATTTTTGGATATTTGTTATTATTATTATTTTTAATGAGTAATTTGTAGAATAACAAAGGCTTGGTGATAATAAGTATACGTTTGGTGTGTGTTGATATTCAGAGTAACTGAGTGTGACTGAAACATGTATCAGAAGGAGTTTAAAATAGAGTGATCTTAAAACAGAACAAGTAATGCTTCTACTGTTCGTGGAGAAAAAAGGTTTTTATTCATTTGATTTCAGGTTTTATTTATTGCAGAATTTAAACTATAGAAAAAACTAAAAATGTTAATTTTATATTATAAAAAATTTTTAAATTAACATGTTAAAAATTAAATATTATTATTTAATCAAAATATTTTTTTGTATTACCAATCAAATTTTTTAAAAAAATTTCAATAAAGAAATTTGAATAAGTTTAAGAGTCTATTGCAAGTGAGCTTTAGTATAGAAAAACTGTCGAAAACTCCAAGTATTATTTTGAGTCAGCATATTTTTCATTTTTTTTTGTATTGATAATTTATGAAGACAAGCCAAGCCAGTTTTGTCGATTTTTACATTAGGGTAACATAAAAGATAAGAAGGCTTGAACAGATTCCCAAATATTTACGCTATAGGGCGGCAATGTAAGTTTTGTAAACTTGTAAGTTTGGAGACTGTACATTCCCAGGTATTACAAAAAAATGATGATTTTTTAGAAGATTTTACTCAATAAGAAGTAAAAAATTAATGATTATCAACTTAAATTCAACAAAACATTACCAAAAATAGTTTTGTATCAAAAGTAGGAGAATAATTAACAATCTCATGTTTCTATTTTATTGGGGACACATAAAAAAAAGAAAGAATCTTCAGTTTTCCGGAAAAACGATAATAACAGAGCGAATATAGATGGCAGCAACAAAAAATACTCCGAAATTATTTAGTTGACGAAAAAATTATCTCCGAAACCTATATAAGACATATTAGTTTCAAAATTTAGTAAATTAAATATTATTATTTAATCAAAATATCTTTTTATGTTGATAATTTTTGAGGAAAAGTCAATTTTGTCGATTTTTACATTAGGGTAACATAAAAGACAAGAGGCTCGAACAGTTTCCCAAATTTTCCGCTATAGGGCGGCAATATCTGTAAGTTTTGTAAACTTGTAAGTTTGAAGACTGTACATTTCCAGGTATCACAAAAAAAATTTTGAATTTTTAGTAAATTTTATTCAACAAGAAATAATTGATTTAATGTGTAAATTTAACAGTTATTCTCTTATATCAACACAAAGAAGCTTAAATTAATATTTAAATTACAGGAAAAACTAAAAATAATAATTTTACATTATAAAAAATTTTTAAATTAACATGTAAGAAATCAAAATTATTTTTCCTCAAATCTAGAAATTTTTTTTTTAACAAGGAAGTTACTTTAAAAAATTTTTTATTTTTTCAGTTAAAAAATAAAAAGGTTTAAACTTTTCAACAAATCAATTGTTTGTTATAACGATGTCCATTTTATTCAAAATAAATTTTTTCTCAGATAAAATTAAAAAATTTTATCTTAATATTTAAATTCTATTCATTGTAATATAATTATACTTTGATGTTTCTTATTTAAAGTTATTTTAAGTTCTAATCTCTTCTAAATGTACTCAGGTCACAGACTTATTACGGAAATTTCCCCGGGCCTTGTCTAAAGAGCCGAAAGAGATACTTAATGTGAATGAACAGACTTATAAATTTTTACAGCCTAATTGTAAAATTGTAACATAAATCCGGCGTAACAAAACAGAATTACTTTAAAACTAAAAACTATCTAATGAGTTAATCATACAATATATATTGTTCTTTTGAAACCCAGGTCAGAATTTAAAATATCGGAAAATTTATGATAATTAGGCACCACTACAAACTTCTTAAGTGTCATTAGGCCCTTTGATAAATAAGAAAGTCATATTAAACGAAGACACAGTAAATATCTCGGCTTGCAAATCTATTGTTATATTCATTGCTATTTCTGTCTCTTTTCAGTGTACTTCCTTTTAACAAGTAATGAAATTAAGGGGCTGGGTAGGGGCATGGGGCATAATTACCACTATCGACATGTTTAAATACCGGAGGTCTGAAAAAATTGAGTCATTTCCAAATCTTACTTTGGCAGTATCACATCAGTGTGTTCTCTTCATTCCGCAAAACTTGATAGTTAAAATTTTAATTTATTTAACTCAAAAGTATCAGTGTTGAAAGTTTAATTTTTATTAAAACCAAAAAAGAAGTGACCAATTTAAAATTACTCTTATTAAAATGTCGGCAAACAAGTGTTGTGAATTAGTTTCTGCAATCCAAAGCAACGACTTGAAAAAGTTTAAAGTTTTATTGAAATCGCGGAAAATTTCAAGGCTGCCAAATCTCACCGAAAGTTATCGACTTATCAACACAGCTATCAGCCACAAACGGAGAGCAATTGTGGAAGAATTAATCAAGAAAAGAGTTGAAGTTAAAAGTTACATCCAACGACCAACAAACAGACTTCTTCACACCGCTGTGAGATCAGGACAGTTAAAACTAGTGAAGAAACTAATTTCCAGAGGAGCTGATGTGAACGGTTCTAGGATGAATGGTTCAACTCCCCTTCATATTGCCGCAAAATATGGAAATCTTAAAATAATGGAGGTTCTTCTGAAAAACGGCGCAAATGTTCGTTCAGTTTGTTTGGGAGAAAAGGAATTTGGCTTCACACCACTTCACTTTGCATGCAGAGGAAAGCATTTGAAGTGTGTCAAATTGCTTCTGAAATTCAGCAATAATGTAGGAGCACTTATTCCGGGTACCATTGAGCCAATCCATATTGCAGTAGCATTGCTCCATTCAAAAATGGTATCGCTACTTCTAAACAATGGTGCGAATGTTAATGCAAGATTCCGCGATGAATTTTATCCGATGCTGGGCTTCAATTTGAACTACCGAATTGAAGAAGAGAATTTTACACTTCTTCTTTGCGCAATTAGCCAAAGGTCCATCAAGATTTCTCAACTGCTGCTGGAACATGGAGCTGACATTTCAAAGAAATCAGATTTAATGTCAATTACTCCGTTGATAGAAGCTGTTGAAACGAACGATCCACAAATGGTGAGGTTTATTTTGGACAACGGTGGAATTTCCCAGATCAACGAGTACTCTGCTAAAGGTTCTTCACCTCTACACCACGTAATTGCTAATGCAGATACCCTGGCCTCTCCTTACGGCGACTATCAGATCCATTTCGTCGCTGAAAAGTTGGAGATATTCGACATCCTTGTGGCAGCAGGGGCTGACTTGAACGCGAAAGTCAAAGATTGTTTTGACTGGACTATTCTTGAATTAGCGATTCACTTTGGATACAGACAAATCGTGGACTACATCTTGAATAAAACTGACTTTGATTCAAGTCACTTGGATTATAGCACCGTCGAAGTCGCTCAATTTCACGATTTCATGTTGACTGAAGACATTACAAGTCTGGATTACCTCGATGAATGGAGGCATGAATTCAAAGTGATAACTTATAATCTTATTTTTGAGATTCTTCGACGAGAAGCTATCGGTTTATTCAAGAATGAAGAAACTATGAAGAGACTTGACCAGCAGCCAGTCCACATCAATATTACGGAAGAAGAACATCAGAAAATAATGAAAGAAATGAAAAGTCAAATTCATCAGGTGGTTTGTGAAATGAAGAGTGAGAAAATTGGTGATAGCAAAATTAGTTTTTGGAATTTACTTACTGCTAGTTCTTATCAATTAGGAAATTTTGCGTTTAATGAGAGCGTTCAAGAGCTATGTATTAGAGATTATAAGGAAAAATATAGTATTTATTATAATTTGCTAAAAAAACAATTTGAGTATGCTTTAGAAAGATCTGATCTTTTGAGTAATGCTGTTGAATATCTTGCTGCGTTGTTTAAAGACTCTAATCATTTACCTTATTATTGTTATGAAGGTATTGTTAATAGCTTCAATGATGAAGAATTAAAAGCATTTGTTAGTATTATGTAAAATTTTTTATAGCTTATAAATTTTTTTTACATATAAATTTTAAATTTTATGTATGTATTTGTAAATAAATAAAATTGTTAAGATGTTTGTAAATAAAAATTTAATAATCTAAAATTATTATTGTTATTTTTTAAGAATTTTATACCTTTAATTTGTTGTACATTTAAAATTTGGGTCATTGCATGTTAAATTAATTAATAGATCGTATGGATACCTTTCAATTTGTTGAAAAATTTTATTTTAATACATGTCAAAAAATTGCTAAAGAAAAAAAAGAATTATTTTTTAAAGTTATTGAAATTCAAAATTTTATAAATATCTCAATTTTTTTATCTGATTTTATTTTCATATAACTTTATTTTTTTTAATGTCTCAAAAATTATTATAGATTATTTTTTGTTTCATTTAAAAAATTTTCATTTTTGAAAAATCGATGCGACTTTTAATAATATTATATCTACAAAAATTTATGTTTGACCAATATAAAATTAAAGTTCAGGAGTTGTGGTAATTACCACAGCTTTCTCTATTGTTGACCTTCCCCTATATAAACTGTGAAAAGATCTTTTGTGGGTCTGCAAATCGAGGATATATTTTTGAGCAGGTATAGATTTTAAAGATGTAATGGAGGGACTCAAATTCTTCGTATTTTTCTAAAAGTTTTGCGGGCCATCTTCTTACCCATTATTATTTCCGGATACAAAATAACCCGAAATCTTTATTTTTGACCTAATTTCAGTAATATTTAAAGTAAAGACTTTGTAAGAGTTTAGAAGACTTTTTGCTTAACCCTTTGCCATTTTTGTCGTCAAAAGTCCATCATTTCAATAGGAGAACATAATAACTGAAGAAGTAAATTTAGAATTTTACTCAAGTATGACAGCTAATAGCCTCAAGATTAGGAGAACATAAAAATAGGGAATATCTTTCAAAAAAATTCTATCGATTAAATAACGAAATCATTTGTTGTCGAGGGTTGCTT